ATTTTTTAAAGCTGTCGGTGTTGGAGGATGGAATGAACGTAACTGTATGTTACGTCTGTGGCTTATTTATATAAATCTGGGGAACTGTGTTTTTACAATAAAAATTTAGCAAAATGTCTGTGTGTGTGTGTTTGTGTAGGAAAAGTAGTTCAAGAAACATGGAAATAAGTACACAATGGTGTAGCACAGGCAGAGGACAGTGACAGATCTCCATCCTGCAAGTTTTCTGTGTGCCTCTCATCCTCCCTGTTCATTTCCTTTTACCAGTGCAAATCACTATGCTGAGGCAGGATGCCAGGCCCACAGTGCTGCTGGACAAATCCCCCAGTCTACGCAGCTGTCTAAGCAGTAGCAGCAAGGGAGCATACCTGTGTCTGCTGGTCAGCTGGTGCGCTTTGGCTCTAATCTTCAGTGTCTCATATTTGTGGCTTCCTTATTTTCAGATTTCCTCTCAGAATGTTGCCAGCTGGCACCTCTAGTGCATAGTTCAAGATGGAAGGATCTCTTTGCCTTAGTGCCTGCAGTGGATCAAGCTGGTGGAGGGTCTTTTACAATTCCTTTTGTTCCTTTTCTGAACCTCAGTGTTACACTAGAGATGTCCTTCTTCCATTTCGTGTCAGGAGCTCTTCTATAAGCCATAAATTGGAGTAATATGAAAACAACTGGAAATTATTTCAAATTTGGACCGTGTGTGCTTGGCTGGGACTAATGTCCTCTCACGTAATTCCTCACTGATCAGGTGGAAGGGAGTTGTGAGGTGGGAGGGACACAAAACTACTGTTATAAGGTAGTTAGTACCATGATACCTGGCCTGTGGTCAGGATTTCTGTGCTGCGTAGAAGAGCCCAAATCCTTTGAGCTGTCTCATGATGTGGTTGCTCTGTCTCACTCCAGCTGGCTGCCATTACATGAAGATAGTGCTATTGACTGGTGCTTTCTGCAGCTGGCAGGTGGAAAAGATTATTCTCTCTTCCACAGCTTTCTATCTCCTCTAGATTCAGAGGAAAAGGTAAAGCCAGTGTCTTTGGAATGCCCAACATTGGAGCATGATGATACCCTTAGCCATACCACAATTGCTTTAATCATGCCTCTTTCAGACTAATGAATAATTAACTGCTGTGTGCATATGCACAGACATGCTGGTCATGGGCATCTCTGCAGGGTCGCGGTGACCTGCAGATGACCACAGGGAGCTGTTTACCTCAGTATGCAACCTCTTGGCTGCTGCCTGTTTGTTATCTCCTTGGCTACCAGCTGACCAAAGCTAGTGTCTTTGTGACCTGCTTCGGCAACAAGGTAGCGGTGACTGCTCCCCAGCCTTCTCGAAGCTTGCGTGTGCAAACAGATTGAGTTGAGCAAGGTGCGAATGTGCAGCAAGGCAGCTCCCACACTGCCACTCCCCCAAGGTAAGTGCAAGGTGGCTCACAGGAGAGTGGCAGGCTATTTTTGCTTCCAAGGGTAACAGCTTTCCCACAGGAAGTTACCATGAAGAGGCCAACCCTTGTTAGCTGGTTTCCAGGCCTGTCATTGGCTCTGTACATGAAAGCACAAGCCTCAGCCTCCCAAAATTCAGCTGCGTGTGTCAGGGCCCCTGCTCTGAAACAAGTGTTTAAGGTAATAAGATTGATTGTCCTGCCTATTGCAAGTTGAGCCATGCCGTGCTGGTCCTCGTGTGTTAGAAGAAAGACTTTTGTCCTCCTTTTGCTGTAGATGTGGCACATTTTTGGGCATACCTATAATTTTCAGGGGAGTAAGGTTTACGGATCAGAAATGGTCCCTTGTTCTGTGTTTTCCACAAGAGACTCCTCTGTGGCTGATGACTTGCTGGATCGGGACCAGAGGAGGCCATTAGGATGATTGGAAGGCTGAAGTACCTCTGGTATGAAGACAGGCTGAAAGGGTTGATGTTGTTCAGCCTGAAGAAGAGAGGGCTCCAGAGAGACCTTATAGCACCTGCCAGTACCTAAAGGGTGCCTACAGGAAAGCTGGAGAGGGACTTCTTCACAGGGCGTGTTGTGATAAGACAAGAGGTAGAGGTTTTAAACTAAAAGAGATTTGTTCAAGTCTGAATATGGGGAAGAAGTCTTTTATAATGAGGGTGATGAAACACTGGAACAAGTTGCCCAGAGCCATGGTGGATGCCCCATCCCTGGAAACATTCAAGGTCAGGCTGGAGAGGGCTCTGAGCAACCCGATCTAGTTGAAGGTGTCCCTGCTTATTGCAGGGGGCTTGGACTAGATGGCCTTTAAAGGTCCCTTCCAACCCAAACTATGATTTATGGTGGAGCCTCTGGGGCCTCTCTGCTTTTGACTATAAAAGTGCAGTCTGTTGCTGGAGGATTTTACCTTATGAATTTTCAACAGAAAGCTAGGAAAGTTGGCAACAGTTGGCTTGCTATTGTGTTTCCCTCTCATTTCTTGCCCCCTGCATATTGCTGCCATTACCCATTAAAGCATCAGAGTGAGTCAGATGTAGAAAATGAGATAAAAACCGCAGGGTGATGCATGGGTGCCAGCCAAATGACTCTTTCTATCTCCCCGTCCCGTAAAGCTGTGATAGCAGCTCAGGGGGCTGTGCTTCATGACTTCATCCCTCCCTGCTGAGGGGAGATGGGCAACATCATTATCAGCTGCCAGGGAGTCCTGACTTGGAGCCTGCAGTGAAAATGTCCTCAGATGTAGGGCTCCTCCTCTGCCCCAAGGGTGACTTGAACCTGCTGGGAAGATGGAGGAAGAGCTGGAGGGGGGAGATGAGAAGAAAGAAGTGCAAACTCTACCGCTTCACTGTGATGATGTCATGGCAACAAGGTACATTGATGTGCTGTCAGGAGATTGGGCTTTGAAGGTCTCCAGCTCTTCCCCGTTGCTGCAGGCTCGTGTCTGACTCGCTGAAAAATGTCTTGGTTAATATTTTATGCCTCCACTGAAGTGCTAAGGGTGGCAAGTGCCCCACCTAAGCCCCCTGCCTCTGCTTTCCAATGGGATGCTAAATCGGGGAGGGGGGTAGGATTGTAAGCTTCCCTGGGATGGGACTCACAGTCAGTAGGGTGGCTTCAGCCCATAGCGTCCCTGTGCCTGTCTGACTCTAGGACATAGGAAGGAGGTTTCTATCCCCTCCAACCCACTTTGGAGCTGGTTTGGGACACTGGAAGGAGGGGGGTCTCCCTCTGTCCTCAGTCTCCCAGGGCTGGATCTGGAATAAAGAAATCTCTGGCCCTGCTCTGGGAGCTGAGCTCAGCTCCTTTGATGCAATCAGTTAGTATATGGATTTTGGTGGGGGTTTTGTGGTTTGGGGTTTTTTTGTTTGTTTTTTGTTTTTTTTTTTCCACCCTAAGCAATGACCTAATGATCCCATGTTCCAGTTACCAGCTACCACCCCTCTTAGGTGCCTTCTTTCCAAATCGTGCATCTGGACTGGATCCAGCAAACTTCCCAGAGCAAGACGCCGTGTTCCCTTCCCCAAGGAAGCCATCTGCTTCCCTCCACTCAGCTCCTTCTGTGGGGCTTTGGGCTCGCCAGCCGGGCTGGAAAGCTCTCCTCCTCCTCGTTTGCCCCGGCTCTCATCGGCCATCTTGTCAGCACAAGGCACGGGGAAGGGAACACGGGGCTGGCTGAATCTGGGGCGGCTGATGGTGTCAGCCGGAGGCGGTTTCCAGGCAACTGTCGCGCCGTGGGACACGCGAGCCAAGAACACCGGGAACACCGCGTTCTCAGCGCACCGCCTGGGAGGGGACCGAGCCTGACACGGCACAGCGTGGTGTGGAGAGGGCAGCGTGAGCGAGAGGGTAGTGCAGGGATGGCAGCAGAGGAAGGGGTCTCCAGAATATCCCCCCCTGTCCACTGATCATCATACCCTCTCTGGCTTGGAGTGAGAATTTCCAAGCTGGCTCCTGGTGCAACACGCAGCAAGGAAGGATCGCATGATATATGGGATTTCACATGCCTTCTGCATCCTTTGGGAAATCAAAGAAAGGAGAAACATAATGCCAGATTCTGTACCCAAGCCCCCAGGCTTGTTGCAGGTGGTCCTGTGCTTCTCTGTCCTTTAACAAATCCAAAGTTCCCTCCCTACAAGTCATGAGCCATTTGTGTGCACGCAGCCCAGCTCTGTGTCCCTGGGTGTCACGGAGAAAGGGAATTTCTTGTAAAGTTGGGCTGCCCTTCCCTTCCACAAGCTGCCAGTGCTCCCCATGCTTAGTAGGTCCCACTGCCCCTCTGCGGTGATGTCCAAGGCAGCATCCCCACTCCTGCCTACCTGCCTGCCTCCCCCACCTGCTTTAGAGGCTCTGGGAGCATCTCTACCCATGAACCTACCCTGCTTGGTAACCCTTCCTTACACTGCCAGCCCACCATTTCCCTTCCTGGCAATGCTGACACTCACATTCCCTTTGTTTTATGCCATTTGAGTGGTTTTTGATAGGTGCATTTAGTACAACTGATTTTGAATAGATGAAGGAGGGTGATAAAATTGCTTTGGCTAAGCAGCAGGGAAAAGATTCTCCTGGATTCTGAGTGTGAGGCTGTGATGCACATGGAGAATGGAGCTGCGTAGTGCTTGGCAGGGTGGGTGCTGCAGAGGGGCAGAACTGCTTTAATGCCGTATATGCCACGAAATGTTCTGCAGCCCCTTGTGGGTGATAGCACAGAGAGACAGGACAGTGAGGGGGTCAACTGCAGCCAGTGCTGCCCCTGGGCCAGCTTTGCAGCTATTGATTTGGAACTTGCCCCGTTCACCCTAACCTTGGCAGTGCCAGCTTGACCCTTATCAGCACTGATAAACCCCGCCACAACCTCCTGTCCCATCCTGGTGGTGTCACTCTGTGAGTGCCGCACTGGCAGATCTGTCCTGTGACTCCGCTCTTGCACCAGTTGCTCTCTTGCTGCGATGCTCTAAATCCAGGACACCTCTCTTTTATTTTTACACAGGGGCTGTGGCCACACCAACTCTTTTAAGCCTAGGTGGGTGCCTACCCCTTGCTGAGTGTTTTGGGCAAGGAAGGATGTGGCGCCGGCTGCAAACACTTTTCCAAAGGAAATTTAAAATCGGTCTTCTCTTTCTTCTGCTCTTGGCCCTCCTCGTGCACCTGGTGATGGATTTTGCTTTCCCTGCAGCCCACAAGCCCTGCAACTGCGATACAAAAGCACCAAAAGTCACAGGTCTCCCATCAGGCAGCCCCATGCTGTCCGGCCTCAAAAAGCTGAGCCTGCGAATCCTTCAGGATTTCGGTGGCAGCAACAGCTCCTTGAAAAAACCCTCTCAGATACAGGGAGCAGGGCTGCACACAAGGACTGGAGAGCTGTGGGTCCAGCACCATCAGGAAGGCGGCAATGCGGGATGGACCAAGGAATCAAAGCTGGCGGCACTTTTTGAGCATCCTCTTTACAACATTCCAATCCCAGAGGTGACAGAGAAAGATAAACTGTTTGTCATCAACCCCATGGAGAAATTCAGCCTGCGCAGCAGCAGGAGTGACGAATGGTGAGGAGCAAGCTCAACCCTAGCTTGCTTTTGGGGGATAAGTGGGTTTGAGGGGACAAGCAGTGGGTACCAAATATGTACTTTCCCTACGGAGAGCAGCATCCTCCCCTGGAGGGGCCCCCACTGCTAAGCATGCTCTTCTCATACCTCAGATCCTCTCTTAGCCCTGAATTTTTGGGCTGCTATTCATAAGCCTGTAGCACATGGCAAAGCCAAAGGAGATTCTTGAATTATTCATTGTATTATGTAGGGTATCTATTGGGTGGTCTCCTTCCCTTCCCCAATGCAGACTAGCCTTTGGTCCCTCTCTCTGTATATGAGGAAGTCCCCAGTCCAGATTTCTAACCAGTTTTATCCCCTCTCCCGATATGTTGAAGATGCAAAGCCTGCAATGTGGGTTATCTCTAACAGTGAGACCATTCCCATCCTGCATTTGGCAGAATATCTCCTGACCTCTTTAGGCTCGGCTGTATGCTGAGCTCACTGCTGCCGGCTGCCTATTTTTATCATTGGACTACTAACCTCTAATTAGAAGGGAAGATATTAAAAGCTTTAGCGTTGTAACAGCTTCCTTATGGAAAGCACACCTTCCAAAAGTGATGCCTGCTAAATTTGGGAGAGAAGAAAAGCTGGTTTAAGAGCTGGTTTCCACAAATGGCATTTGCCTTGTTTCTGAGGACCATCTCACCTATGGAATAACCTTGGGTCTGGTTTGATGAAATTGAGGCACAGTCTGTTTTCCTAGAGAGAGACATGGATTTGGATTATAGATGTCCTGGGCTAACTGTCCCACTGCAGTGCCAGTGTGTGCTAGCACAGAGGGGGGGACAGATACTCCCACAAGCTCCTTTGAATGCCAGCTAACTGCCAATTTGCAGGATGCACAGAGACAGGGATAGTGCTAACCCAAACTTATCCCCCTGGGAAACCAAGGGTGTGTGATAAACCTGTCCAAGGGGAATGGGTTGTTGGGAGTGGGAGTTCAGGTCAGTGCTGGGGATGGCTGGGAAGCCTGTGCTCTGGTTTTGCCACCATGAAACCTGGAAATCACACAGAGCTTGTGCAGGGCCTTCCCCATGGCTCACCCTCCACACACTGGCTCCTGGGAAGTGCCTGGGGACTGAGGACAGATTCCATTCCACTAAAAGCTGTTGTTGTTGTTGGGTGGTGGTGGCTGTCGGGCTGCAGGGTCAGCAGCAGTAAAGCCGAGACGCTCCTCCCGACAGGGAAGACGGCCTATGACACCTACCCCACCTGGCTCAAATTCCATGTTGGCATCAACCGCTATGAGCTGTACCCCCGCTGGGACCCCCTGTTGCCCACACTCCTCCAGGACTTGGCCACACAGAGGATCATCAGCTCAGGTACCATCTCCCTGCCCACACCCCTGCCCCACTGCCTGCTGCCTGCCTCTCTCATCCCTGTGTGCCTCCTTTCAGTCCAGAAGTCTGGCGGGACCCAGCTCAAGCTCATCATGACGTTCCCAAATTACGGGCAGGCCCTCTTCAAGCCCATGAAGTGAGTAAAGCCTGGGACAACCCCTTACCCCACCCACATGGTCCCATTAGGTAGCAAGGAGTGGCCAGAGGGGACTATGGAGGAAGAAATGGACAAATGCTTTGTGCACTGCCTCGCTTCAGCACCTCCATCCCAAAACTGAGGCAAGCAGAATAGCCCCCATTCCCTTGTCTTCCCTGGCTGCTTATGACAGCCTGGATGCAGCTTGTGATGGGGTAGTGACCTCCAGTGGTAGAAAGAAGAAGGTGGTCCATGAGGACTATCCAGGAGCCTCCAGTCCATGAGGCTTCCCAGCCCTTGTGTTGGAAGCAAGGAGTATGTGGGAGCCTGGATGGGGTTTTGGAGTGACACCACCCATCAGGAAGTGACTGGAGGAGACTGGGTCTTGCTGTGTCTCCAATGTCACCAGGGGACACAAGGTGAGGTGTGGTTTGGAACCAAGCCCACGCTCAGAGTGACCCCCACCCTCCCAGGCAGACCCGGGACCAGGAGACCCCCGTTGATTTCTTCTACTTCTCGGACTTTGAGCGGCACAACGCAGAGATTGCAGCCTTCCACCTGGACAGGTGAGCATAAGCTTTACATCCAACCCTGCCTTCCCATGCTGGCAGAGCAGCAGAAAAACTGCTCCTTCATCCCACCTCTCCCTCCTTTTTGTGAGGGATACCTCCTGGTGGGTTTAATAACTTGCTGTGAAAACCAGCCGGGGTCGATAAGAAATGGTTCCAAGTTCTGTATTTCAGGATCCTGGATTTCCGGCGAATCCCCCCAGTTTCTGGCCGTTTGGTGAATATAACAAAGGAGATTCGTGACATCACCACAGACAAGAAACTGGCTAAGACTTTCTTCATCTCCCCAGGTGAGCTTTCATGTTATCCATCCTCTTCTGTGGCCACCCACATGGAGCTCAGCTGGACCTGTCTGCTCCTGCCCTGGGGCAAACTATCCCTCTGGGGACTGCTCCAGCTCCTGTGGATCCCCTGCCACAGGGCTTTGCTCCTCACAGCCTTCCTTGCCATTGCGTTACCAGTGGTGCATGGCCACAGTGCATGGAGCATCCTCCCCCAGCTGCCTGCCAGACCACCCTGCCTGGGGGTCACAGGCTTGTCGCCTTCTTGTTCTTCATCAACCTTTGCTTTGTCCCCATGGCCAGCGGGTAACATCTGCTTCTATGGGGAGTGCTCCTACTACTGCTCCACCGAGCACGCCCTCTGTGGCAAGCCGGACCGGCTGGAGGGCTCCATGGCTGCCCTGCTCCCTGACAAGACCTTGGCCAAGCGCCGCTCCTGGCGCAGCCCCTGGCGCCGCTCCTACCACAAGAGCAAGAAAGCTGAGTGAGCCAGGGCATGGGGGGTATGGGGGGCATGGAGCAGCAGAGCTATGGGATGGGAGGGGGCTGGTCCATGGCCACTCTCAGTGGCCCCCGTTCCCTCCCCGGCCTCTGCCAGCAGGTGGGAGCTGAACCCCAACTACTGCGCTCGGGTGCGAGAGACGCCACCCTACGACAGGGGACATCGCCTCCTTGACCTCATTGACATGACGATCCTCGATTTCCTTATGGGTGAGCCCCTCCATTCTGGTGCTGAGGGCTGTGGAGCTCCCTTGGGACAGAGAAGCCCAAATGTCTCTGTGTCCTACAGTGCTGTGCCCTGTGAGGCTTGTTGGCCAAACTTGTTCAGGCTGCAGCTAGCTGCAGTCTTACCCAAAATGAGAGGACAGGGCTGTGCCACTAGGGCAGAAGTCAAAGGACAAGAGATGCTGGGGAAATCCCAGCTGAACACCCCAGACTCAGGAAGCACCTTCCAGCATACTCCCACATGCAGCCCCTGGAAAGCCAGAGGCAGAGGTGATGCCCAGGGCTCTGGCTGCCTCTCCTGCCCCTGGGCTGCTGCTTCTTCCCTGCACTGTCCCCTCACTATTATCTGACTTGGAGAGTTTCCCATCTCCTCGTTCTTGGCCACCCAGCCATGCTTTTGCCATTACTTCTGCTCCATTTGCCACTGTTGTCCCTCTGTGGGGCTGCTGGGATGAGAAGGGGCCTAGAGGCCGGTAGGGTCTCTGCTCAGTTCCCCTCCATGGCCATGGCCACCAGATGGGCACCTTAGAGGTGCCTCCAGACCTTTTCCCCAGCCTTTGGGTTTCAGTCTCACACCAGGAGGGTGCTCTGTATCCCTGCTCCCATCCCACAAACTGATGGCAAATTTGTTGGCCCACCACAGGCAACATGGACCGGCACCACTACGAGACCTTTGAAAAATTTGGGAATGACACTTTCCTGCTCCACCTGGACAATGGCCGCGGGTAAAGCTGGGGAGGGGACAGCAAAGGAATGGGGGGAGACTGCCAGTCTTGCTGAAATGCCACCGTGACACCCACTGGTGGGCTTTCCCCCATTTCCAGCTTTGGCACACACTCGCGTGATGAACTGTCCATCCTGGCCCCCCTCCAGCAATGCTGCAGGTAGTTAAAGGGCTGCCGCTGCCTGCCCCAGATCTGCTGTCGGGGAGAGGCTCCCGCTGTTGAGACATCTCCCTCCTCATCTTTGGCAGCATCAAGAAGTCAACCTACCTGCGTCTGCAGCTGCTGGCCACCCAGCCCTACCGCCTGAGCGACCTGCTGCGGGAGGCGCTGGCCACAGATCCACTGGCCCCCGTCCTGGCTGAGCCCCACCTGCGGGCGCTGGACCGTCGCCTGGGGAAGGTGCTGGTGGAGGTGGGACACTGCCTGGCCAGGGCAGCCCACCCGGATGAGGTGCTGGTGGATGATGTGGGGTCATGGGTGTGATGGGGGGCTGGGTATCCTGCTGGGTTGGAGTGTGTTTGGGTGCTGCCAAGGATGATATGGGATCAGCATGCAGCTCTGACTTTGTGTAGTGTCGGCTTTTTGGCGGTGCCAAAGCTGGTGGTGTGATGTACCAGGAAAGCAGGGTGTAAGGATAGCTGGGACAGGGAGAGATTTTAAATAAAAAGGTTGGCCTAGTGGAGATGACATGAGCTGAGATCTCCCAACCACAGCTACCTTCGCAGCCGTGGCCTATCCTCACATGCCTGGACATGTCGCTTCATCCCTCAAGAGCCTTTCAGGAAAGGGTAGGGATTTTTCCTGCCTTTTCCAAGCAAGAGCTGCCAAACTGGAGCAGTTGGCAAGCTCCTTCTGCCCCACCCCGTCCCCAGCATGGTGATGCCCTGGTGACTCCCAAAAACAGAGCTGAGACTCCCCACTGCTGGTGTGGGGAAAATGAGGCAAGAGCTCCCAGCCACTCACTACTTATCCCTGCCCTGCTCTTCCCTCATCCGCCTGAAAACCCCCATGGCTCTGGCATCACCAATTCCTCTGCAGCACCAGGGGTGCAGCAAGGGGGACAAGCCCCACTCTCCTTGGAACACCTCAAATTGCCTGGGAACCACTGCCAACTCCCTTACCACCCAAAAAAGTGGCTCCTGAGAAGGGGACGGATTGACCCGGGGCCATGCACCCTATTTAGTGCCTGGTGGCTCAACACCCAGCTTATCCCCTGAGCCTCCCGGGGGGTTAATCCATGTGCAAGGTTACATCAGCTGGGGCAGGTGCCATCACAAGGGCCACTGTCAGTGTCCCCAGGATGGGGCACAGGCTTGGCATCGGCATGGCCAGAGATGAATGTGCTACCGAGTAGGGGAGATGTCCTCTGTCCTAGTCGGGCACCCACAAAGGGATGGGAAACCAAGAGGAAAGGGTGAAAAAGGGTGGCTGGCACAGTGAGAGATGGAGCTGCCCTGGAAAAGCCAGGCAGAGATTTAGGCTGGAACAAAAAATGGGCTCAAAAGGAAGAAAAAAAAAAGAAAAGAGAGACAAAGAGGATCTGTCTGCGTTACACAACGGGGCCAGGGCCACTGAATCAGGGTTTGTTGCAGTGTGCCCCCCCAGTGCTGGCGGCACGTCCTCCTACCGCTGCTCTGGCTTGTGCCCCAAACCCCAGCACAGGGAGGAAAAGGTTTTGGGGCTGTCTTACAACAGGTTCTTCCCCTTCTGCCAGCTTCATATTATTTAACTCTTTCTATAAATACCTTTTTGCTCCATAAGCAAAGCCGAGGGGGGGGGGCATTCCTGCACCATGCCCCATGGACGTGGCCTAACAACCCTGTCCAGACACAGGCGGCTGGTTCCCCCCACTCACAGAGCCCTGCCCGGCAAATCTTTTTCTGAGGTACTGTGGGATTTAAAACACAGGGCGTGGGAGGGCAGCTGTTTCTTCAGCCTGGTGAGTTTGCACAAGGTCCCAGCTGTGCTGCCGAGGTTCAAGGTCCCGTGGGAGAAGCCTGGTTTGGCTCACACCCTCCTGCCAAGCCGGCCCAGCCACCCGTGCAGGAGAGCAATGGTAACGGGCTGTCTGAGGCCACGGGTCTGGGGAACAGCAGAACACGCCTGCCCGGTCAAGGCGGTGGGGCACATGGGCGTTGAGCAGGGCTGCCCACGCCGCAGGGATAGGTTTGGTTGTGTCCTCGTGCCAGGTGGTGTAAGGGGTGTGGGTATTTCCCACCCCACTGGGACTGGCAACCCAGCCACCCCAGCAAAACCCAAACGGGGCTGGAGTGCAGCCCTAGATCTGGGAGCTCCAATTTTGGGCTGGCATCACCTACGCCCTTGTCTGGCAGTGTGGGCTCACTACTGCCTATGGTGGACTTGGTGAGGGGGAACCCAAGGGCTGAGGTTCTAGGTGACGAGGTCCTGGTGAACACCAGGGGGTGGGGATGGGCCCTCGCCATTGGCCCCCCAAAACGGTTAAAATAAAATAAAGTAAAATAAAAATAATATGCCAACAGCGATAATAATAATAAATAACAACGATGATGACAAAGAAGGGGACATCGAAGCCGCTCCCCAGAGGGCCGGGGGGGGCCTGTGGCCTGCCGCCCTCCGCTGGGCGTCGGGCGGGGCGCGGGCGGCGGGCGGGGGGGCCGGGAGGAGGGCGAGGGGAGGCGGGTGGCCGGCTGCCCCGCGCAAACACAGGGAGCGCCGCCCGCGGCGGCGGCGAGAGGCGCTGGGCATCGGCTAGGAATCGGCCGGAGGACGGCGGGGCTCGCTCCACGCCGCGCGTGACTCGCCGGTGGGTTGGCGTGGAGGGGCGGGGCCGGGGGAGGCGGGGGGGAAGTTGGCGGGAGGGCCGGCTCGGCCCGGGGCTCGGCCCGGGCGGGGGGAAGGTGATGAGTCGGCGCCGGGAGTGTTCGGAGGGACGGGCGGGGCAGCGGCTCCACGCGCGGGTGGGACCTCGCGTGAGTGGGAGGGGAGAGGAGAGGAAGAGTTTTATTGCCCTATAAGGGGAGGTGGCTCCATCCCGGGGCACCAGCTCGGGAGGGGGTTCGGTGTGTGCGGGACCCGCTGTCACAGGGGTGGGGTCCCCGCCGGCGGGTCCCTCTCACTGATCATTCCCTCTCTTTTCCGACATCCCCGCCCGCCCCCAGGTGAGCCGTGCCCTCCCCCCGTGCAGGCGCCATGTCCCGCCGCAGTCAGCGCCTTGTCACCACCCGCTATTACCCCGGGGACGACGATGCCACGACCAGCAGCAGCGGCACCTCTCTGCTGGGTGGGACACAGCTCCCCTTCAAGGAGACCGCCGGCAGGTTGGTGGGGTGCAGGGGTGGGGGAGGGCCCCCCCCCCAAACCTGGCTGGGGCTGGGCACTCCATCCCAGCGACACCAGGGACCGGGTATCCTCCCGGGTGGGGTGTCGGGATGGCTCGCAGGAGGGAGCGTGACGGGGAGCCCGGCACATTCCGGCATGGCCGCCGGCCGCCTTGGCACTGGCTGTGCCCCTGCTCCAGCGAAGGCCCCGTTCGCCCTGTCTGGGCACCTTTGCCCCGACGCAGGAGCTGCCGTGGGTGGCTGGGTGCCTCCTCCCAGCTGCAGCTGCCTCCGACTGGATGGCGGGAGGCAGAGAGAGGGAGGGAGGGAGGTGCGCTGTTAGTGCCGGCCGGAAAACCGCAGCGGTGCGAGCGGAAGCGATGCCCGTGGACGGGCGGGAAGGCCTTTTGCAAAGCAGAGGTTGCACCCTCCGAGACCTGCTGCCGTCTGGTGCAGAGGGGAAGTGATGCCGGTCGAGGGATTGGGGTGAATTCCCCATTTCTCCCCCGTGGGTGCGCTGTGATCCCCCACGCAGTAACCACACATGTCTGATGAGCCTGTTCTCCCCTCCGGCAGGACGATCAGGAGGAAATCGAGCAGCACAAAGCGCCTCTCTCCCGCCCCCAGCACCCAGACCTCCTACTACAGCGAGTCCATGATGAGCGAGTCCTACCTGGGGGGCAGTCGGGGCCTTGCTGCCCTGGGCAGCTCCATGCTGGATGATGACCTGGACAGTGGCACGTACTGGGGTGAGCCCTCCCGCCCTCCTGCAGCACGTGGGGGGAGGTGTTGGGGCAGCCCCCCAGGGTGGCTGACTGGTTGCCCCCTGTGGAAGTGGTGGTGGGTGGTTTCTCAGCGGGACTCTGTGTTTTGGGAGCAGGTGGGGAGCTCTCTACCAGGAGGAGAAGAGGCACAGGGGACACAGAGTCCAGTAAGATCAACGGGCTGCTGGAGAGCAAGACGTACGACACCTATGCCTCTTCATCTGGGTACTCCTCAGAAGATGACTATGCTGGTAGGCATCACCAGCCTCTTTGTAGTGGCAGGGATGCAAGGAGACATTCCTGGGGGACTGGCTCGGGGCCTGGCCATACTCAGGGTGCTGCCAATCCCTCCTGCATGCCACCTCCAGTGCAAAGCCTTTGCCCTGGGCAGTGCTGTGGGATGCTGGCTCCGTTGGTGACTTGCTTCTTCCTTTCCAGGTCACTTTTACTCAGGCCAAAGTAGCTCTGGGTCAGGTCTGAGGACTGCAGCCTCCCGAGTGGGCTCCTTCCTCTGGCAGGTGTTCACCTCCCCAGGTTAGTGGAGGGCTGGCAGGGGCGTTTCCAGCAGCAGCTTTCTTGTCTGTCAGTGTCTCTACTCCCTAAGTGCTGTGTGTGCTGTTCCCTGATCAGGTGAAGGGGTTTTTTCCCCTTCTAGGATCATCCCTGGGGGATGGAGGGGACATCTCTGCCAGGACCCCTCCTGAGGCTTGTTTTTCCTCCTGGCAGTTCGGTTCATGACATGGCTGTTCTCAGGGCTGGTAGGTGCCTGGCGCCGCCTCACTGGCACAGCTCCCCGCCTGGACAGCGTCCCTTTCTCCAGGTGAGTGTGGTGGTGGGACACCAGGAGGGGGGAGGTGTGTTGAAAACCTGCAGGACCCTGGAGCAGGGGTGTGTCTGATGCCAAAGCCCATCTGGACTTTGCTTTCCCTCGGCCCCCATCCAGAGGTGGTGGAAAGGTGGCTGCAGTCCTACAGGTGCCTATTCCTTTTCTATGCTCCAGGCGCTACCCATGGTTGAAGAAGTCCCTGCTTCTGCTGCTGCTCCTCCTTCTCCTCGCTGCTGCCGCCTACGGTAAGCCAGCCTGACTCCACGTGTTGCCCTGAGGTCTGGGGCAGTGCAGAGCATGCCACTGCCATACCTGGGGGATGGGATGGCTCCCAGCTCAGTGTTCATGGCTCCTGGTAACATGGTCCATCTGCTCCACTGTGCTGGGACCTCCTGGTAATCCCAGGGGATGCTGATGGCTGAGTTTCTGCATGTCCACCCTATCCCCGGCTGTGGCCCATTAGCAGCCTGTGGCTTTAACCATCTTATCCCTCTGCATGTCCAGGAGCTTGGTACTTCTACCCATATGGGCTGTCAACACTCAGCCTGCCTGCCTTCCCGTGGTGGGGAGCTGGGAAGTTTTCCTCCTCTGATG